TACCGACATGGAGACATAATTTTGGGGAAACAGCACTCTTCGGAAGTTTGCTGTCGGTAAATCTTTCTTGTTGCAATCAAAATGGCATTCTAACAAAATTATCTTGCTGTATAATAATGACACTTCTGGTAATAAAAAAATTAAATGAATAAAACATTTTTGTTAATAAAACCTAAATATAAAGTATTTCAATCATTCGTATGCTAATGATTTCCATTCATATAGCAGTGGTTTACCGTAAATTCTGGTTTCCTAAATTATAGTTCTTATTACCACACATTTAGTAGAACATACAAAACTGAAAAATAAAACTTACCCTGATAAATGGTTTTTATGCCGTACTCTAAAGTATCATGATAAAATCACCAAATTTTACTACGTTTATTAAACTTTGTCCCATATTACACCATATTTAACCATATGGCACCATATTTTATTGTTAATTTTATCAAAATCATTACTGAAGAGCTTCGGTAAAAATTATTGAGCTGTTAAGTGTTCCCGTAGAGCTAGAGTCACAATAAATTGTACAATATCCTGGTAGTTTTGGCCATACACTTTTTCTCAATAGAGTAACAAAAATCAGATGTTTTATAGTAAATAATATAAGTGATGAACAAAAAATTTAAAACATGGACTAGTAAGCTAAATGCTGTTTTTTAGGATGTTTTTGACAGTAATATTGTATTGTAAATTAAAGAATATCAATTAATTATTGCAGTTTTTACAGGTACCAAATTTACAAATATTGGTACACACTATATTATATTAGTATCTTCGATGCCTATTAAAGCTGCTCCAATTCTGTGCCATCATAATACAGATACTGTGGAATTAGGTATTTTACGGCTCCTCTAAATTAATAAGTACCGGAATGCCGCCTGATTGTGATAAATTTTGATAATCATGAATTGGCCTCTCGAACAATTCATCATATTAAGATAAATGATACGAAATACCGTTAGTCGTTATTTTGATGGGATCAACTATTAAAAACATATTTTGCTTAATATAATAACTTAGCTCATTTATCGGAAAGCAGGAAGCTTATTTGAGCTTTATTAATTGTGTCGCTATGTACCTTTCAGTTTTGTGCATGAATTCGTAATGTTCTTCAGTTCTTATTTATTGATTTTTTTTTCTTTTCTTTTTTTTACACCAGTACGAAGTATTCACTAAGATAAACCCTATTCAGATAGGATGTTTTCAAAGCATAACCATTTAAAAAAATACACTCAGATTCAGATTATTTTTAATACTAATCTAGTTACGCAATCCCCCTATTTTATTGCTTTGTCTTTTTCTGACATAACGGATTAAAAATAATTAAGTATTAAAGATCAAGCAATAAACTCTTTTTTTTATTCAGAAGAGTTATAAACAGGCAAACATTATTGATCATATCTTTGAATTATTTGAAAAAGCAGAATCGGCTGCAATTTGATTTATACAAATGGGGCTAGCCCGAAACCATTGAGAGAATTTCATTTTTAAAACTTCATTCCCAAACTCTCTTAACTGAAACTTTGAAGCGATACGTTTTTCTCTTAACTGAAACTGAAACTTTTCGAACTTTTTTTTAAAGAAAAATCTTTTTTTACGCACTGTCCAAATTTCAAAACTCTAGCATAAACGGTTCTGGATTTTTATGAGAGACACATACACAAATTCTTCATTTAATTTTTATAGGTTTGTTTTTCTCTTGAAAATCATCTAACGGAAACTCATCTAACGGAAAGCATAAAGCACGATAATAAATTAAATTAATAGAAAACAGCTAATTTGAAAGTTTATTTTTAATTTTATAATTCAAACCTTTTAAAAGTTTTTACAGAAAATATAGTAATGAATTCACGCAAAAGTCATGGATTTTAAGGCTTTTTTGTGACGGACGGCATAATTGTAGCAATGTAGTCAGCGTTGCCCACATACTGCCTTTACTTTTCATACTTTTACAATATATGTATAAAAATAAAAGTCATCTGTACGAAGTTCGTGATACGATGTTTTAATTTTCAATTACTATTTTTATCTGAATAGTTAAATTTTTCTCTTACGTTGGACAATTTCACTTAAAAAAAGGATATTGTTTATAAATTTTAATTTTTTATAAACAATGTTCAAACCCGAAGAATAATATATTTTTTTTCACAAAACTTAATTATTTTTCTAGTCTCAATGATGATCCTGTGACAAAATACTTTAAAATTTTTATTCAAGTATTCCAAAGAGTGAACCAGAAAACTTACACACACAGTGTTTATTTATTTTAATAATGAACAGTTAGATATTGTGTACATTGTACTGTGCAGTTATATATTGTATACATTGAAAACTTTATCGTTTTTCTTCAGAACTTCCCTCAGTACTTTCATCACTGTCCACTTTCGGATCTTCCTCTGTTACGCCCTCTGTAGGTGGTACTGTTGAAGCAGAAGGAGCCCTGCATCTCTCATTATTTCTGACTTTGCCGAACTATAAAAAAAACAATAGTTTTTCATTAAATTACGGTAGTTTTTTAATAATTAAATGTTTTGCGCAAGTTTATATGCGGTACTTTTATATTTAAACTTACTTGTAATGGGTTTTTATTCAGGAGAATTTTTGCATACTCCTTATTTGCATTTATTTTTAACGTATTGTATTACAATGTTAATCAATTTATACACGAACGTAAACTAGTGCAAACCGGTTTCAGTCGCGTTCTCGCATGCGTCAGTTGCGGATGCGTTTCTGTGGCTTTATGGGCTCGTTTATTTTACACTACGGAGTTATTTGTTTATTTTGTGTGCTGTGAATAAATAATCAATTAGAACATTTTCATCTTGGCTAAAAAAAGGCGATCTTTCAACCATCTGAAGAAGCTAAAGTGAAGGCCGTCTTGAATGCTAAAATATCTTTAAACGCGAATATCACGAAGATTGAAGGTTTCTGAAGCTAGCGTACTAGGCATGAAAAAGAGAATTGAGCCCGAAACGAAAGAAGAGAGGCGGCGGAATCTTACAGTGCGTCTAATATTTTGGCCGGGGCTCAAATTTCATATTCATTTTTAGTTTTTTGAAAAACTTAGAAATTTAAAAATATTAACATCAGCTTAAATTTTTTAAAATTGTACCTATATTAGGATCCTAATCTCATTTTTAATCACGTTAGAAATTTCAACTTGCACTTAATAATAAATAATAATAGATTATAAGTTAATAAATAAATAAATAATAACACTAGAGATCAAATTTTTAATTGCATAGCCAGGGGAACTTCCCTTTCATGACCTGCTCAGAAGCACACGAAGAAAGAGTTCATAATAGGAAACCACCTATAGTGGTATTATGAGGACGTTTCCGGCATGAGTTCCTATGCAATTGTAATTCTGGTGATGTGCACTAACTTCTCTGGAAGCGTGTCGCAATATTTCCATGAACCCTCTGTTATATATAGAGTTTTTAAACTTGTACATCTCGACCAAAAAATAGACTAAAAATGTCATTTAAAGAAATTGTGGCTTGGAAGGAGAAACTGATTTACAGATCAGAAATCAGCGATACGAGAGTATCTGAGTTCTGTTAGAAAATCTCATGTGACAGGAAACAAAAAAAATGTTCTGCAGTGTGATCAGTAAATAAGTTACTGATAAATAATAATTAATAAACAAGTAAATAAATAATAGATAAATAAATAATAGATAAATAAATAGATAATAGATAAATAAATAGTAAATAATAAATAAATAAAACTAATAAAAAATAAATAAATAAATAAAATAAATAAATAAATTTTATTTAACAAATAAACCGTACATACTTTATTTTGTGTGACTCTTTCGGAAACACAACTCAATCCTTCGGCACAAGGGCATGTAAATGTATATTTTCCAGAAGGGGCAGTGTTGTCACGCAAGCAGCGTTTTCCTAATTAGCAAAAAAAAAAATTTAATTTTCGAAATAAATATCACATGTAAAAATAATAATAATGAGTATTAAATTTTGACAGATGCTTAGGTTAAGAAATAGTATTCAGATAAATAAAATTTATTTTCAGTTCTTCTTTAAACAGAAATATTAAATAATATGGAACAAATAGAAAGCACACATTTGTTTGAATTCTTGAAGCACACTTTGAAACTCTGATAAATGTAACTAATATATAAGCAAACTATTAATAAATTAACTATTCTCTACTGTTGAAAACTGCAATTAATTTGCGAAATTTGGTTCTAAATCACTCGGCAAACGATTAATTAACTTTGTAAACAGCACTATCAGGCAAATGTGCTGCAAGCAATGTAAGATATTGAACTAAATCAGAATTATTTTCATGTTGAATCGTAGTACTGCGTAATCAAATTTAAAAATGTAGTTTTACAAAAAAAACACGTATCCCGTAGTTTACGCTACATTTGATGTTCGATAAAATGTTGTCAGCGGTACAGCTGACAGTTCAGGGTTAGTATGAGAGGTCAGAAGCACGAAAGATTGATGCGTTTATCGTTGAATAATGTTGTAGAATACTCCTGTCACGTAATTCGTGTTTTGGTGATCAAAATTAAATCCTAAGATCATGCGATTTAACACCCTATGACCTTTTTTAGACTAGAGTTTAGGCCAATAATCTCACAACCATCCAAGCCGTGAGATTCATCCACATTTATATAAAACAGTCCTTTAAAATTTCACGAATAGGATGCGTGCACGAAAGCAAAGCATGGAGGCCATTTTTTCAGTATGCTACTTCAAACAATGCGCTATACTGTATAAATATGCGAAAAAAATGTATAATTTTAAATTAAAAACTTGTGTGTTTTCTTTTAGTAAAACCTCTTGTGTTAATTTCAATAAACCCTGCACAAATCTTCACATCTATTCATGAGATATAATCTTAAAAATGTAATATTTTCTTAGGAATATTAGAAAAATTTTTACTTTACTTTATTATTTTAGTTAATAATTTTTTTTATTTTATTTATTAGTTTTTTTTATATACAGGGTGTCTCAGTTAATACCATGATAATTTGCAGTTGCTCTAAGGTACATTTGTCCCTTGACAAATGACAAAACCGAAAGAGTATTGAAGAAATTATAAGGATTGATGTCAACTGTAGTCATCTGACGAATTATTTCAAAAAAGTTCATATACTATAGATGTTTTATGGTATTTATTCTTCACGGTTTTATCCAAATAATAACCCTTTCATAGTCTTTAGAATAGAAATGTAACAAAGTACATACTGTCACAGGTATAAAATAAAACATGATCTTTAAATCGCCGCTTTTAATTCATGTTTTCAGAATACTTTTAAAAGTTCATCAAAACACATCATATCATAGAGGCGCGAATTTTTGTAATAAAAATATATTATGAAGTTCGGATTTAGTATTATAATAAAAGGAGGCGTTAAAAGCATCAGAACCAGTTAGAGTGTTTGATAAAACTTTGTTCTTTTTACTTTCACTGTAATTAACACAAATAAACATGCGCCCGATTTAGATAGTATTTTTTTCACTTCCAAGATATTAAATCACGATCATTTTTTTTTTACAAAAATTAGGAAGAAATATAATGATGATTGTGCATTAAAGCAATTCACCTTCTATTGTTAATTTTTTGCATTTTCCAGATCGAAATCGCGATCCAACACAACATTCATTGTCTCCACAATCAATTTGAGTTGAACATCTTTTGGTGAATTTTCTATTCGGAATCCTATGTTTGTGGTCACGTGGTCTGGCATTCTCAGAGACAATAACTGCCACCTAAACATAAATTTTCATACAATTACATTTAAATAAAGTGTAAAAAATTTTATATTTTTATACTTAATTCCCCTCTATGTTTTTATACAGAGTGCTCTAAAAACATATATTCATCTCTTAGGAATTCACGCATGTACATTCACAGACATAAGGAAGCCACAATTTTATATACTGCAGACTCCAATGCATTAAAGACTAGGTTCTGAGTTAAAGTGATTAAATCTATACAATAATTTATTTGACACTCTTATCGAAATATATGAATTATGTTAAGTTCACGAACGTGACGCGCTTATCACAACACTTAACAAAAAATTACAGATATCTACAGACGCAACCTATTACCAGTCAAAATTCCGGTGTATCCATTTTTACCACACATTTGGCAGTGATATTTATTTTATTACAGTGGTGCAGTGATTTTATAGAAATTATTGCTGTAAAAATCACGGTATATCAGATTTTTCGTTCCGTAACATGTTCCGGTAAAAATGTATTTTACGGATAAAGTACCGGTAAAATATCGCGATTTTTTTAACAGTATTTTCTTTGTATTCAATATTAAATTAAGATTGAACTGAAATTCACAATAATTTTTTTATTTTGTTTTCAATGCATTCTCAATTTTAAAAAAACTGTTATTTATTGATAATTTCTTTTTGCTCTCACTACGCCTGTTTATTCAGGCAATAATTTTGAGTGACGTGCCACACACATGACTAATGACGTAACTACTGTGGATGATTTTTGATCAATCAACTTATTTTACAAACTTTGTATTTTAATTATTTGTGAGCGCAGAGATGGTTACTCATTTTAACAAATTTCAAGTCCCGCAGTGGACTGATCGTTAAGACACGGTTCCCAGCAGATCACCGAAGCCAAGCATCACTGGCTACGGTTAGTGTGCGGGTGGGTGATCACTTGGATCAGTCTGCGTAGGGACCGAGGGTGTGCGGTATTTATTGGTCCTCGTTGAACTGTGCTACCGTAAAGTGCTCGACTTCACGCGCAGGTCGTCGGGCTACCGAAGCCATCCCCTCCGCAAATGATCAAAACTGTGATGGCATGTCTTCGGATCATCCGCCCAGACCGTCGCCAGTAGCCCATTGTGCAGCTCTAGTGCGACGTAAATTAACAACAACAACAACTAATTTCGGAAACTTCAATTTTTGCTATTATCTTCAGATCACAGAAATTGCTGCTTTTACAGGAAATGGCTCTTATAATTAAAATGAATTCAAATTAAAAATTAAAAATACTATTCAACCAAGGAAATTTACTAATAAGAGATTTTTTTTAACTTTTAAATAGTTATGTAATAAAAAAAATTGCACACTATATGAATGAATATTTTTATCTGTGTTAAACATACTTTTCTGTTTTCTTTTTCGTAAATTTAATGTCGTTCAGTAATAGTTCTGCCATGAAGTGTTTTTTTGAACACACAAATAATGTTGTTTGAAAAGTTATTTAATAAAAAAAAAATTGTTTTATTTAATTTTTTTTCCTTCTTAATATTCATTATATTTTCAGTACTGTAAATTTCGTCTTGAAAACTTTTAACTACACCTTAACTAAATAATTTTACAACACATTATATGTTAGAAACAAAAGTTTTATTTATTTTTTAATTCTTTTTCATTATTCGTGAAGATGTTGTTTCTTTTAAGTCTTTCATAAAAGAATAAAACGTGATCACTCACCAAGGCAAGACATATAACGGCAACCAATACAAGCTTCATGTTTAGTTTTTTACAATGATTATTCGAAAAGAGTGAATTTTTTGATGTTTTATTAAAAACTCCTTTGATGTTTTATTAAAATTAAAGCAAAATTTGAAAAATTAGGTCTTTTATAGGTTAGATCAGGTGAAGCTTTAAATTAATATTTTTATCTTTAAAAGATATCTTCGAACAAACGAAATACATAAGCGTGTTTTACTTCTTTGTTTCAATTCAGAGTTTTTATCTAAAAAAAAAACCTTCCTTTTTTAATTTTTTATTTATTTATATTGATTAATCCCTAAAATTATAATCGTTAACTATTGCGTTATAAAAGCAAATNTGTGTTAAACATACTTTTCTGTTTTCTTTTTCGTAAATTTAATGTCGTTCAGTAATAGTTCTACCATGAAGTGTTTTTTTGAACGCACAAATAATGTTGTTTGAAAAGTTATTTAATAAAAAAAATTGTTTTATTTAATTTTTTTTCTCCCTCTTAATATTCATTATATTTTCAGTACTGTAAATTTCGTCTTGAAAACTTTTAATTACACCTTAACTAAAAAATTTTACAGCACACTATATGTTAAAAACAAAAGTTTTATTTATTTTTTAATTCTTTTTCATTATTCATGAAAATGTTGTTTCTTTTAAGTCTTTCATAAAAGAATAAAACGTGATCACTCACCAAAGTAAGACATACAACGGCAACCAATACAAGCTTCATGTTTAGTTTTTTACAATGATTATTCGAAAAGAGTGAATTTTAACTCCTTTGATGTTTGATTAAAATTAAAGTAAAATTTGAAAAATTAGGTCTTTTATTGGTTAGATCAGGTGAAGCTTTAAATTAATATTTTTATCTTTAAAAGATATCTTCGAACAAACGAAATACATAAGCGTGTTTTACTTCTTTGTTTCAATTCAGAGTTTTTATCTAAAAAAAAAACCTTCCTTTTTTAATTTTTTATTTATTTATATTGATTAATCCCTAAAATTATAATCGTTAACTATTGCGTTATAAAAGCAAATTAGCACGTGTAATACTTTTTTTGTCCCAAATAAAGCGTCTTAAGTTTACATAACTAACTTTAATCATGTGATTTCGCCTCTAAGCTGCTTAAAGACCACTTTAAATAATTTAAAAAAATTAAACTCCCTTCGCCAAGAATTGACTTCAAAGCAGTTTTCAAATTGATTCGATTATTTTGCAGCCCAGAACCAGTATGATTTAAATTTTTAGTTGCAAGTTTTACGTCATAAATGTTACAACTTAACTTTTTTTGACAAATTTCGTGGATATTTAAAGTAATCAAAGCATGTAACTTTTGTCCTGTAAAAACAAACGCCGATTAACCTGACAATTATTTAGTAATGCACATAAAAGGAAAGAGTTCCGAACAAAATAAAGCACCAAATATGGGAAAAATTCATAATATTTAATATATACTGTTGGAATTTTCATTCTAAAATAATAGTAAAATAACCGGCAACAGTCTCTTCTTTCAACTAACAGTAATGTTTACGGTACGAAACCTTTTTTTACCTTTTCGGTTTTGAAATCGTTTACAACTAGTATGGTTAAAAAGCAGTAAAAATCTATTTGGACATACGTCATATCGGACAATAATCTATTCGAGTGAAAATGGCCTAATCTTGTATTTTTATAGTCCAGGGTCACAAATTGAGAAGTGCAGGACACTGGATACTCTTCATGTGTAGAAGGGAATGGACAAAATATTGTTGTGTGAATGCTGGGACTCAGGCCCCTTTCTATCTCATTTTCCCTTTCGACTATATGTTCCCAACTCCGAGGAACTAAGTAGTTTCATTTAGTGGACATAATTGGAACTATAAAATTCTGGTTGTTTAACCGTATATGGTGAAAGTTGTAAAGAAACGGTTTTTCTCACTGTTAACAGTTCGAATGCCGCATTATTTACGGTTATTCGACTGTTTTGTTTGAATATGGTAAAATAAAATTAAATAAATTGTTATTTGACCATTTTTTTCCAAGAAATTTCCAGAATTTACGGTAAACCACTGCTATATGAATGGAAACCATTAGCATACGAATGCTTTAAATACTTTATATTTTGGTTTTATTAACAAAAATGTTTTATTCATTTAATTTTTTTATTAAC